ACATAGTTGGCCAGGCCATAATCTTGCCGGCGAAATGACGATTTAAGTCGCCAAAGAATTTTGAAAATCGCTAAATCTCGCCGGCCGACTGACTTCATAGCGAAGTCAAATCGCTATCAAAATCGGTAAAAGGGAGACAACTTGTGATTGACAAGTGTCACAGGTAAAAAAAATGGCGGCTGACAAGGAAAAAAAAAAATCGAGATTTTCGAAACGACCCAGGACTAATACTGTAAACGATCAAATTAAATAAATACAACGGCGACTTTGAACATCCTCGGATATAACTTTCAAAACTGTTCAAACGGAAAACTGACCGTCTGTTTAAGTTATCGTTTTACGATGATTTTCATCTGAGGATGTTACGTAATCACTCAGCTGATTTGTTTTATTTTTAATACCTACACGAGTCGATCAATTTTATTATTCGGTAGGTAAAGGGTGGGAATTAACGGTAGGTATTTTATATTTATTGAATAAAAATTGAAATATAAAAGGTAGAAAGACAGTTGATGGATAATGTGATTGCAAACGTACGACACTCGACCAGATAATTTGTGATCAGCAGTGGATTTTTTCTCATGACCACTTCGTTGATATGGATGATATTTTTAAAAAAATGATAGAAATTTTAGCTCTTTATCGGATAATTAACTGGAGATTGAAAGATATTTTCATATATAGACTTAAAATCTTTAACGATAATCTCAATTTACTACAACTAACATAAATGTCCTGGACATTCAATAATGTTTTACAAAACAATGACAAGTGGTGATATAAATTAAATTCCCAGTCATGTGAAATTCATCATATTTTTCTGGAGTTTTAAAAATAAATTGAGGCAGATGCACATGAATTTAATGCATCATAATCTTGATAATATTACTAGGCTACTCCCTCATGTCCCAATCAACAAATTTTATTTAGAACACATTATGGTATCAATAAATAAATAACAACTATATATTGTCTAAACCTTTTTATTAAGAACTTTCTATATATACATTGTGTACAATAACATGAAAAAACTGCAAGTACATCTTTTATTGAATATAAAACAATTTCCTTAGGCTTAGTGATAAGCTTGAAAACACGATGCAACCGAAACGGTAATGGAATCTCGCTTCTCCAAGAAGTTGACCACTTCTCCCTTCTCTCTCATGGAAGGAGAAGTCACTTCTCCCTCTTCAAAATCCTAGATTAGGCCCTGAGTTGGGACTTTCATTGTATTTGGTTCTGCTTGTAAAGCGGTAGCTTAAAGTTTATGTTTGTTACAGATGTCGTTTTCTGAAAATGGAGTCAGTTGGAATGTTGGTGAATTGGTGATTTCTTTTTTCAGAACCTCAATGTAAAATTTACGTCAAACAATAATAATATTATTAGCAGCTTTATCGGCCGGGACAAAAACAAATTCCTTGGCTAGTTCTTTTAGTTTATGTTTGATACGAGAAATAGGTTTATTGTGGTTATTGTTAAGAGTAAAATGTTCTTTAAAATGTTGAATACGTATATCAACTATGTTCATTACTGATTTAAAAAAAGAGTCCAAAGATTTTTTGTCAGCTTTTTCCCGTTTTATCCATTTCAAACAGTAAGTATGGAGTGAGTCGTGGATGATATTACGACACTCATTCCAATTAATAATTGACGGGGGACGATATTTAGGTCCTTTACTGAGGATTGATTTTAACTCTCGGTCTTGAACGATGTTAAGATCTCCTGTTATAACATGGGAAATGGGTCCATAAATGTATTCGGAATTACTGCAATTACATGAAGTAGGTGTATTTTCACTGATATTAACATCTTTACACAATTGGCTATAATTAAACACAAATTTCCGGGTAGATTTCTTGTAAATATAACAAATAAGAGGGAGCTCAGTATTATCAAAATATCCCGGAATTTGTTCTTTAACAGAATGGTCGTTAAAAATACCGGCAATATTTACAAAATCAAAACCTTTATTGACATACTTTATTTCAATAAACCGTTTTTTATGATCTTCAGGGCGATCAATTTTGGGAAACAGTTTAGAATAACAATATGCCATTATAATTTGAACGATTTCATACTTAGGACTGCTATATGAAATGGTGTTGCAATCCTCTAAAATTTATTTAACTTATTAACCGGTAATGAACAGAGCGTTACTTGTTTGGTAGAGTTTGTCTAATAGCATGGTAGAGTTTGTCCACTGATTTGGTAGAATTTACTGGTTTGATAGAGTTTGTCTCCTGGTTTGGTAGAATTTACTGGTTTGATAGAGTTTGTCTTCTGGTTTGGTAGAGTTTGTCCACTGGTTTGATAGAGTCTGTCTACTGGATTTATAGAGTTTGTCTACTGGATTGGTAGAGTTTGTCCACTGGTTTGATAGAGTTTGTCCACTGGTTTGATAGAGTCTGTCTACTGGTTTGATAGAGTTTGTCCATTGGTTTGGTAGAGTTTGTCTACTGGTTTGAAAGAGTTTGTCTACTGGTTTGATAGAGTTTGTGTACTGATTTGATAGAGTTTTTCTACTGGTTTGATAGAGTTGTCTACTGGATTGGTAGAATTTGTCTATTGGTTTGATAGTGTGTGTCCACTAGTTTGATAAGAGTTTGTCCACTAGTTTGATAGAGTTTGTCTACTGGATTGGTAGGGTTTGCCTACTGGATTGGTAGATTTTGTCCACTGGTTTGATAGTGTTTGTCAAATGGTTTAATAGAGTTTTTCTACTGGTTTGATAGAGTTGTCTACTGGATTGGTAGAATTTGTCTATTGGTTTGATAGTGTGTGTCCACTAGTTTGATAAGAGTTTGTCCACTAGTTTGATAGAGTTTGTCTACTGGATTGGTAGGGTTTGCCTACTGGATTGGTAGATTTTGTCCACTGGTTTGATAGTGTTTGTCAAATGGTTTAATAGAGTTTTTCTACTGGTTTGATAGAGTTGTCTAATGGATCAGTAGAGTTTGTCTACTGGTTTGGTAGAGTTTGTCCACTGGTTTTGAAGAGTTTTTTTACTGGATTGGTAGAGTTTGTCTAATAGTATGGTAGAGTTTGTCCACTGGTTTGGTAGAGTTTGTCTAATAGTATGGTAGAGTTTGTCTACTTGTTTGGTAGAGTTTGTCTAATAGTATGGTAGAGTTTGTCCACTGGTTTGGTAGAGTTTGTCTAATAGTATGGTAGAGTTTGTCTACTGGTTTGGTAGAATTTACTGGTTTGATAAGAGTTTGTCTCCTGGTTTGGTAGAATTTACTGGTTTGATAGAGTTTGTCTTCTGGTTTGGTAGAGTTTGTCTAATAGTATGGTAGAGTTTGTACACTGGTTTGATTCAGAATTTGTCTACTTATTTGGCATAGCAATTTTCTAAAGGTTAGGTAAAAAGTTTGCCTTATGGTTTGGTATAATTTGTCTATTTGTTGGTATGAAAATTGTATGGTGGTTTTCAACAGAGATTGTTTTCTTGTTTTGGACAGAGTGTCCCAAGTCAGGAGCCTGTAATTCAGTGGTTGTCGTTTGTTGCTGGGTTATATATTTGTTTTTCATTCATTATTTTGTACATGAATTAGGCTGTTAGTTTTCTCGTTTGAATTGTTTTACATCCGTCATTTTGAGGCCTTTTATAGCTTACTATGCAGTATGACTTTGCTCATTGTTGAAGGCCGTACAGTGACCTATAGTTGTTAATTTCTGTGTCATTTGGTCTCTTATGAATAGTTGTCTCATTGGCAATCATACCACATCTTCTTCTTTTTATAATTAGTCTACTATTTGGTACAGAAATTGTCAACTGTATAAAATAAGGAGATAATCATTCAAAACCCTCTCCAACTTGGTCAAGCTTTGAAACAGCACAACACAAGAACAAACCACTATTTTTTTGGAAACTGCTCAGGATTCACCAAAATCAAGTCCAAAGCCAACAACAACCAACAAATAAACCAGACCAAAGTATCATTTAGCACACATTCAATAGATTGAGTGTAAAGACAGTATGAAAAAAGCATGACCTATCGCAATACCAAAATATAAGTACATAATATGGACAAGCTATAGAACCAAAAGCAATACATATTTAGTTACGCTATTATTTATCAAAAACAAAATCAATGTAAATATTGAATCAAACAATATTCAAAGATTACTACAGTGTTTAATTCATACCATTTAAGAGTAAGTTTACTCAAAGGATCTCTGACTTTACATGGGTTTACTCAAAGGATCACTGACTTTACATGGGTTTACTCAAAGGATCACTGACTTTACATGGGTTTACTCAAAGGATCACTGACTTTACATGGGTTTAGTCAAAGGATCACTGACTTTTCATGGGTTAACTCAAAGGATCACTGACTTTACATGGGTTTACTCAAAGGATCACTGACCTTACATGGATTTACTCAAAGGATCACTGACTTTACATGGGTTTACTCAGAGGATCACTGACTTAACATGGGTTTACTCAAAGGATCACTGACTTTACATGGGTTTACTCAAAGGATCACTGACTTTACATGGGTTTACTCAAAGGATCACTAACTTTACATGGGTTTACTCAAAGGATCACTGACTTTACATGGGTTTACTCAAAGGATCACTGACTTACATGGGTTTACTCAAAGGATCACTGACTTTACATGGATTTACTCAAAGGATCACTGACTTTACATGGGTTTACTCAAAGGATCACTTACTTTACATGGGTTTACTCAAAGGATCTCTGACTTAACATGGGTTTACTCAAAGGATCAATGACTTAACATGGGTTTACTCAAAGGATCACTGACCTTACATGGGTTTACTCAAAGGATCACTGACTTAACATGGGTTTACTCAAAGGATCACTGACTTTACATGGGTTTACTCAAAGGATCACTGACTTTACATGGGTTTACTCAAAGGATCACTGACTTTACATGGTTAAACTCAAAGGATAACTGACTTTACATGGGTTTACTCAAAGGATCACTGACTTTACATGGGATTACTCAAAGGATCACTGACTTTACATGGGTTTACTCAAAGGATTACTGACTCTACATGGGTTTACTCAAAGGATCACTGACCTTACATGGGTTTACTCAAAGGATCACTGACCTTACATGGGTTTACTTAAGGATCACTGACTTACATGGGTTTACTCAAAGGATCACTGACTTTACATGGGTTTACTCAAAGGATCACTGACTTTTCATACTCAAAGGATCACTGACCTTACATGGATTTACTCAAAGGATCACTGACTTAACATGGGTTTACTCAAAGGATCACTGACCTTACATGGGTTTTCTCAAAGGCTCACTGACTTAACATGGGTTTATTCAAAGGATCACTAACTTTACATGGGTTTACTCAAAGGATCACTGACCTTACATGGGTTTTCTCAAAGGCTCACTGACTTAACATGGGTTTATTCAAAGGATCACTGACCTTACATGGGTTTTCTCAAAGGCTCACTGACTTAACATGGGTTTATTCAAAGGATCACTAACTTTACATGGGTTTACTCAAAGGATCACTGACCTTACATGGATTTACTCAAAGGATCACTGACTTTACATGGGTTAACTCAAAGGATAACTGACTTTACATGGGTTTACTCAAAGGATCACTGACTTAACATGGGTTAACTCAAAGGATCACTGACTTTACATGGGTTTACTCAAAGGATCACTAACTTTACATGGGTTTACTCAAAGGATCACTGACTTTATATGGATTGTACTGCAGATTCATAATTATTCATTGGATACCAACAATTTTTGTGGAATTGGTGGGAAAAGGTGAACCAGGAAATCAAATATCCAACCAAGAACAAATTTTCTATAGCTTGTATGCACACTTTGGCACAAGCATGAAATCAAATATCCACAACAACAAAAAACAATTCTAATGCAATTATTCTGTATAAATGTTTCTGATTGGATGACAATAAGCGTGAAATTCTCTATTTCCCTGTCTGTAACTAAGGAAGCCGACATTTTGAATTCCGGAATGTATTGACATGTAATTTCTCCAATAATAAGCAAAAAACTCACATTTTGCACCTAGAAATCTTCTTTTTATCAAATTTTATTACATTTTGAAGCAAGAAGCTAGAAAACGCCCGGTGTTTACATTTGATGCCGGAAGCATACATATATCGTCACCTAGCTAGCTATGGTGCCAAATAAGATAACATCATTTCGCGGAATTTTCGTTTAATGAAAATTTACACTGAAATAACGACTGAGATTGAATAATTTGTTTATTTTGCATTAGAATAGAGATAACTGTATTGTATTTGAAGCTTTGCGGATGTCCATCGGTAGTTTTACTGTTGCAAATAACCGTTTACCTGTCTCCGCTACGCTTCGCCAGGTAAACTAAATTTGCGACAGTAAAACTACAGATGGACGTCAGCAAAGCTTCAAATACAATACAGTTATCTCTAAATTATCCTCAATCCACGCAAATTGGTACCCACGAAAATAAACAAATCAACAGTATCTAAATTTACTAGTCTCTAAAACATCATTTTCAGAGTTGGGATTTGATATCATGGTTAGTCTTATAATTTGGTAAAGAAATTGCTTATTGTACACATATTTGGTACACAGTTAAGTCTATTGATTTGGTACACAGTTAGTCAGCTATATGCCAAAGGATATTAATTCTATGCATATTTACAGAGTACATTTTGTACTATAAAAATGCATAAATGAAAAAGAGGAAGCTGCTCTACTTTATATCATTCTTTATCCTGTTTTGCTATTGGCAGGTTGTTAAATAGACTACTGTTTAAAATAGAAACTTTATTCTGATGTCTGATGACAAAATATTCTTGAAACATTGCAACAGAATTTGTGCAAAGGAAATCCCATCACATTAAAATAGTCTCCTTTAATTCCTTCGATCAATGTTCCACCAACAGCTTGTATACCATAGCCTCCTGCTTTGTCCCTGCAAAATATAATTATACCGTAAAATAGGTAATCCCATCATATTAAAGTTATCACCCATCCAACAGTTTGTATACATTAACCTCCTGCTTTATCCCTGTAAAATATAATTATACATGTACTTTAAAATATGTAATCGCATAACATTAGAGTTATCGCCCATCCAACAGCCTGTTTACATTAACCTCCTGCTTTATACCTGTAAAATATAATTATACATGTACTTTAAAATATGTAATCACATAACATTAGAGTTATCTCCCATCCAACAGACTGTATACATAAACCTCCTGATTTGTCCCTGTAAAACATAATTATACTTTAAAATATGTAATCCCTTAACATTAGAGTTATCTCCCATCCAACATTTTGTATACATTAACCTCCTGCTTTATCCCTGTAAAATATAATTATACATGTACTTTAAAATATGTAATCGCATAACATTAAAGTTATCTCCCATCCAACAGTTTGTATACTATTCTATAACAGATTGTATACCATTACATCTTACTTTGAATTTGTAAATACAAGACAACACTTACATGTGTACAAATGTTATTCAGTGCTACACACTAAAACAAGGACTTATTTCAATCTGGAATAATTTTAAATTCTGGAAAATTGTTTAGAAATGTATTATGAAAACTAACCCAACTATTTAGGGTTAGCCATGGCTAAGGTTAATTTCACTTTCACTGATATTTCAGTATGAACTAACTAACCCCCCATAGCCATGTGTGCATGGCTACCTCTATTTACTTGGGTTAGTTTTCAGCACATATTTCTTATCAATTTTCCAGAATTCAAAATTATTCCAGATTCAAATAATTCCTTGTTTAAAGGCAATTTTCATAAAACATTTTACATGTTTTGTAAATTTTTGCATCGATGAAAATCCATAAACCAAAATGAATTAATCAGTATCTGATAGACAATACATACCATGATGGCATCACATGAACACTTTAGTTGACAACTTGTGTTTAGAAACAAGATCAAGGCTATAATACATTTTTCAGGAAGGAGGGGTTTAACACAAATCCAAATACTCATTACTGTTGACCTGCCATGAACATTTACCATGCATGAACTAAACCTTATTATAAAAACATAACCTGACCAGTACAGCATGCAAATTAGGTCACCAAATGTGAATGAAAAGTATTGATAACCTACGAAGAATAATAATAATCCTGCAACTTAACATGGTCATAATATGAGATCAAGGCCATATGACATTATGGAAGACAGACATATATTGTCATAATGAATGCATATATAAAAAATTGCTATAATTCTTCCATGAATTGTAACTGCAAAGCACACCTAACACTTGACCTCTTGAGAATGACAATGGGAACAATCTACACACCAAATAACGTTGTCCCATATCATTTGTAGTAACTGAGGAACAGGCCTAATCTGAAAACTTTAAAATCACAACAGTAGCATTAAAATGAGGACAAGATCTTTTATAATTTATAAGTGTCAGACCACCAATTCAAAATCCCTATCTCTTCAACCAAATTTTGCAATTTTCACAGCTTTCTTAATATTTTACCTTAAGTTTAACTTCATAGAAACCAGATATATCCTGAATTGTACATGTATCACCTTTCTACATGCCAATTTTCAACCCATGTTTAAAGTCTTGTAAGAAGGAACTGCCTTTCGACAGCCGAGTACTACAAATAATAACTGCTGGTTTTCTGGAAATCTTAAATTAGTATACTATGGAGCGCATTAATCCTAAATTTTTAATGCAAACTCAGACAAATAAATTTTGGCTCAAATTGGTCTCAATATATTTCTCTTTCACCAAAAGTTTCATTTCTGCAAATTTGTTGGTTAGTTTAAGTAAACAATGACATCAAAAGCACTATTTTCTTTCCGAGTAGGGCTACTTTTACATACGTTCTAAATTGGAGGGAGTGAATGGTGGTCTGACACCTAAAAGGCAGACTTATATTCTTTAAAACAAATCTACACACCAGTAGCCTAACTAAATAAAAATTGGTCCAGTGGTGTAAAAAAGTTAAGAGACTTAAGCCAACCGAAAGATATGGAGCAAAGTCAAAGATCTGATTTTAATCAGATTGAAAAATCAAACTTCCAAATTTCCCCACGAAATCCTTAGCTGTAAATATAACATCTATTAACCAACTTACAATGGTTCCCCTGTATCCACATAAGATGAAATGATTTCTGGCGTAAGTTTTGTCATCATAACATCTGTAGATTCTTGGAATTCTGTTATATAAAATCTCTCATCTTCTCGACACAATCTATCTCCTTTAAATACTGAAATGAACAAATTCTGTTTTTTTAAATTTTCTCTTCTCTCAATACTGAGACAGATACAAATTCAGTTGTGTGAAATGCTCCATGACAAATCTTATCTTTTCACAACTTTACATAAAAAAATGAAAAATTCTGACAAAAAAATTCTGACAAAATTTCTTTAAGGGAGATTTGGGGGGGAGGGGGTCTAAATTAAAAATGATAGAATGTTTTCTAACTTTGCCAAGATGTAGTTTACCTCAAAAATATAATAAAACATATGGGTTGCCAAAATTTCTTTGAAGCTAAAGGCTGTGCAAAATTACCAGATTTTGTGAGGGTTATACACGGAAAAAGCACTTTTTGTGAATAGAAAGAAAATCATACTTGAGAATTTTAAAATAGAATATGATAAGATATAGCTCTTAAAATAAGCTTTTACAAGGTAAATAAAAAAACGGTTTACAGACTTGTTTTCTTGCTACTTATCAAGATAGGTAAATTTACGGTACATTCTTTTATAGAAATAAATTATCTGTGTTATCTCCCCTAATATAACAGTTTTTAATTTAGAATTAATCAAAACATTTTCTTTTTTTGTAAAAGTTGGATTATATATCATTTTTTTTTAAATCCTAGCATAATTAGATGTTTCTCTTTGTGACTTTTTAGCAGACATTAAGTTTTTACCACATTAAATAAAAAAGTTAACACATGGAATCAATCTGATATATCAATTTTTAATGAAATCCTAGGTAAAAAAAATGTCTCTCAAAATTTATCATGGTAAATTCTACACCTGAATTATAAAAAAGACAACTTTGACATTGAGTATCAATTTTGAATAGCATAACCTAAACAGCATTTTTTTTTTTAAATTATAGCACAAAAAGATGTTTCTCAAAATTTGTGAGTTTTTAACAAAAACTTATTTCTTTAGTTTCTTCTTCCATTTGGAAAATGCCTGTACCAAATCAGGAATGTGGCAGTTGTTTTTCACTTGTTCTGTTGATTGATAGCATTTGATTTTGTCAGTTTTTATGGAATTCCCCTTTTTGAATTGCCTTGGAGTTCAGTATTTTTGTTATACTTTTTTTCTTTACCACAATTATTTTTCCAAGATTTCACAAAAAACACAAGGGACATTCCTTTTACTGGTATAAATACTGTGCATGATAATTTTGAAATTGGTTAAGTCAATCTAGGCTTATCATACGACACAGAAGTGCTGACTATCATACATGGTCCTAATAATAGTTATCTTGTCAACTTACAGTATTATGGTATTGCTCCACGAGCTAGCTGTAATAAAAAAGGAAATGAAACTAAGTAATGACTTATGATATTACCTGTTGAGTTAATAGGTGTTATTAATACTACAGCTGTCCATACTGTGTGAATACTACCACTGAACCTGTAATATTAAAGTAATAATATCAGAGGGGGATAGTACTTAACAGATAATCTCATTCATGTGTTACTCTATAGCTTTCTATACTGTGTGAATACTACCACTAAACCTGTAATATCAAAGTGATAATATCAGAGGGGGATAGTACTTAACAGATAAAATCATTCATGTGTTACCCTATAGCATTCTTTTTTTAGTGGATGTCAAATTTTAAAGTATGGAGGGCAACATATAAAGGAAAATATTATTGAAACAGAGCATTTTTAATTAGACTATGACAGCAATAAATAATGAGTATTTTGTTTTCAAAATTTCAAATTTGAACTGTCAAAGTGGATAAATTTTGAGGTCAAATCAGATTTTCAAATGATCTAATGGAAAATTCTGAGGGCAATTTTCTGAATGGAATTGGGTGCAAACTAAACAAAGACAAATGTAATCAATGTATGGTTTATCAAATATAGAGGGTTCTCACTAATACCATTAGTCCTGGACTTATTGAAAAATGTGTCTGAATGCATCATAAATTCTGAACAGTTGAATCCAGAGATGCTTCATCATTTATAGAAACAAAAGTTTAAAAATAAATCTAAAAAATGATAAACTTTAATAGCAATAATATTGTTTTTCATCTTACAGTCATATAAAAATAAGAACATGTGGTATGATTTCCAATGAGACAATTCTCCACCAAAGACCAAATGACATAGAAGTTAACATCTATAAAGACTTACTGTCTAAAAAATGATAAACTATAATAGCAATAATATTGTTTTTCATCTTACAGTCATATAAAAATAAGAAGATGTGGTATGATTTCCAACAAGACAATTCTCCACCAAAAACCAAATGATATAGAAGTTAACATCTATAAAGACTTACTGCTTTAACATTTCACAAGCATGAGTTTTGTCCCTGGGTTTTTCAAATATGACATTATTGTGGGTAACTACTGTATCAGCTCCTATAACCAGGTCAACAGGTGTCTGTAAAACAAACAAAAATTATCATGGGTAACTATGGTTTTTTGGGGCCCTTTATAGCTTGCTGTTCGGTGTGAACCAATGCTTCGTGTTGAAGGCCGTACCTTGACCTATAATGGTTTACTTTTATAAATTGTAACTTGGATGGAGAGTTGTCTCATTGGCACTCATACCACATCTTCCTATATCTATCAGCTCCTATAACCAGGTCAGCAGGTGTCTGTAAAACAAACAAAAATTATCATGGGTAACTATGGTATCTACTCCTATAACCAGGTCAGCAGGTGTCTGTAAAATAAACATATCATGGGTAACTATGGTATCTGCTCCTATAACCAGGTCAGCAGGTGTCTGTTAAACAAACAAACAAAAATTATCATTGGTAACTATGGTATCAGCTCCTATAACCAGGTCAGCAGGTGTCTGTAAAACAAACATCATGAGTAACTATGGTATCTGCTCCTATGAGCAGGTCAGCAGATGTCTGTAAAATAACATTATCATGGGTAACTATGGTATCTGCTCCTATAACCAGGTCAGCAGGTGTCTGTAAAATAATATTATCATGGGTAACTATGGTATCTGCTCCTATAACCAGGTCAGCAGGTGTCTGTAAAACAAACATTATCATGGGTAACTATGGTATCAGCTCCTATAACCAGGTCAGCAGGTGTCTGTAAAACAAACATCATGAGTAACTATGGTATCTGCTCCTATGAGCAGGTCAGCAGATGTCTGTAAAATAACATTATCATGGGTAACTATGGTATCTGCTCCTATAACCAGGTCAGCAGGTGTCTGTAAAATAATATTATCATGGGTAACTATGGTATCTGCTCCTATAACCAGGTCAGCAGGTGTCTGTAAAACAAACATTATCATGGGTAACTATGGTATCAGCTCCTATAACCAGGTCAGCAGGTGTCTGTTAAACTTGATATGGTGTATTAGCCACACTGTAACAGGAATGGCTGATAAGGAATGCTGTTATGAATTTTCATGATTTTTTTGTTATATGTTCCTGTAATATGGGACATTTATTTAATCAGTTTGTGACAGTCTGCACTAAAATCTTTTCCAACTACTACTCGGAAGACCTATTTTCCGACATTTTTCTTATATGTGTCTAAATAAAGATTTGCAAAAACTTACAAGTTCTAATAAAATGTTTCTAGTCTGATGCATCAGATGCATTTAGATGTGTTGTTTTCTGTGACTAAAAGAAGGTCAATTTTGATTTTCAAGATTTTACCTTATATCATTGTTGAGTTATAGACCTTTTCGTAGCGAAAAATTGATATTTAGAGTGTTGTCCACGCAATAACTGGAAAACACTTTGATGAAATCTTTTTAAATTTAGATATGTTGTTTCCTGTGACTAAATGAAGGTCAATTTTGATTTTCATGATTTAAGCATTTATCGCTGTGAGTTGTAAACCTTTAAGTAGTAAAAAGTGATACTTATATTGATTTTACACTTTCCATTTCTGAACCCTACAAAAATTCATTTTTTGGTTTACTTGAAATATAAGAAAGTTGGTATCAATATTATATGTTTTTTGAAATTCCTGCCAGTTCATTAAATGCCCATCATTACCAATTTAATCATTTATTAGCCACACTCCCTTTTCAGTCCATTTTTTATACAGAGGGATTTGATTACCAATCTTAATTTGTTTATTATTCCAAAGATTAGATGTGACAAAATCGTATTCGTTCTTAACAGCTACTTTAGTTTGGAGTTCAGTTCAAGCATTAAAAACCTCCTGCCAAAATGGATTTCTTACTTTGTTCTTGGACCTACAAAGAGCAATTCATTTAATTTAATTTTTTCAGAACAAGTTAATAACTTACAATAATTATTAGTCTGTTTAATTATTCTTCTTATCCAAGTTAGTTTTAATCTTTTTATATATTGTTTTAGATTTAACATGTTAAGTCCACCCAGTTCATATATTAGAGAAATTGTTTCTCTTTTAATTTTGTCTGGTTTACCATTTCAAATCAAATAAAAATTTTTAACAAATTGATTAATTAATCCATTGTTAAGATTTGGTAAAGTTAAAAATAAGTGATTGAGTTTTCCAATTGGGGATAAGTATTTGTTTGGCCAACTTTTCATTGTTCTTTCTATCTCTTTAAGTTTGGGTCCGTAATTTAGTGTTTCCATTTCTTGTTAGTCAACCGAATATTTAATACCCAGGAGCGTAAATCTGTTGGAACCCCACTCCAATCCCCACTTTACACACATTGTATCTTGGCTATATTTCTTTTTCCCAATCCAAACTACCTTTGTTTTCTCTAAATTCATCTTGAGACCAGACCATTCAGCATATAATTCTAAAACACAAAGAGATGCATCTAAGGATTCTGATGAACCATCTAAAATAAAATAAGTGTGGTGTCATCAGCATATTGCGATATCAAAAATTCTGAGTCTTCAATAGTAATACCTTTAATATTTTCGTTTTTTCTAAGTAGTATTCCTAAAATTTCAGCAATTAACAAAAAGATGTAACGGGATAAAGGATCCCCTTGTCTGCAACCTCTCTCAATTGTAAAAAAGTCTGATAGAAAATTATTCTGTGTTACTGCTGATTTGGTATTTGTATAGAATTGAAAGCTTTTTCAAGATCAATGAGGAGGAGAATGCCTGGGATATCATTTTCTTCAGTGTAGTGTAGTAAATCATATATCAATCTGGTATTTTCACCAATAAATCTACCTGGTATAAATCCTGTCTGATCATTATTAATTAAGATTGATAAAACTGATTTTATCCTTTCTGCAATGCAACTTGATGCTAATTTGTAAATAGTATTTAAAAGACTGATTGGACGCCAATTTTTTATGTATTGCTTTGGTTTGTCACCTTTATAATACCTTGTCTTTGGGTAATAGACATTTGCCCTTGAATTGATTATAACCATATTTAATTGATCTATGTACAAATGTACCTATATCTATCCAAAAAAAAATTAGGAATTCATTTGAGTATCCATCAGATCCAGGTTTTTTCTCATTTTTCATTTTTTAATTGCATCAGTCAACTCTATTAATGATATTTCCCCTTCTAAGGACTCTTTCATATTTTCCTATAATTTTGATTTATCTTTATGGAGTATGGCATTATTCAAATTAATAGATTTTATTGTCTCATTTTTGGAATATAGATTTTTGTAATAATTTGTGGCTTCCTTTAGAATTTGTTTTTGGTTTTCAATTATATTTCCTGATTTATCAATTAATTTAGGAATTGTTTTATTTACCGATTTTTTTGTCTCTAAATTCATGAAATATTTTGATGGTTTCTCTCCTTCTTCTACCCATTGTGTTTTTGACCTTATATATTGACCTCTCAATTTATTTTGTCTGAGAATTTTCAGACAAAATAAATTGAGGGGTCAATATATAAGGTCCATATAAAATATTGATATGGAGCTACATGTATACTAAATACCATAAAGCTCTAAAAAGAATAAAACCACCACAAACTTTCAGTTGGACATAAGAAGCATTACTTCAATGACTACACTCAAAATTGACCTTTTGGTGCTAGGACCTACATGACCCCCAGTTATAGAGAACTCTGCTGTTTGTGAGATATGGTACTTTTATTCAACCTGATTAAGTGATAAGGTACATGTACATTTACTTTACCTGTTTATCAGCAAGAATGGATGCCACTTCAATAGTTTTCTGTTTAGCCGTTTCTTTAACATAATCAACAGGACTTCTGAAGCTAGATTTTTCCAAATTTTCTTCAAAGTTTGACTTCACAATTTCAAACTTTAATCCCTGCAATGAAAATCAGAAACTCTGACTGTATATTGCATGAGTTTTTGGCAAATAAAACAAAAATTCTTGTTTAAATTCAGATAATTCATCAGTTTGACCACAGGGTTTGTTTTAAACAGTGAATCTGTGGCTTAAAACCAAAAACACCTCTCAACTTGTCAAACCAGGACCTACCAACCTCATAGAATATTTGTTGAGGGTTTTGGGACTTGTAAAATAGAGGGCAACATATTGTGTTCAACAAAAGATAGGTGTTTAAACAATTTGACAAGCTGTAAAGGTCCCGTCTAAAAGCTAAGAATAAATAAAAAAAATCAAGAAACTATCAAAAGTCTGCAATCATAAACTGTTATCACAGAAACTTGTTACACATGCACACTTTTTTTTATTCATAACTGAAATTATTTTGTTATTAGTAAGTATTTTATATTACAAACTAATATTCATTTTAACATACACTCGTTTCAAATTTGCATCTTTACTTTTAAAAATTGTCAATACTCATTGGTTAATAGATTAAAGAAATTGTCTACTGCATGTTAAATTGTACTGCATTATACCATGTTATACTGTATAAACGTAAAGAAAACAATAGAAACTGGAGAAGGATTTTGGAATATGGATGATAAGCCAATGCCAGTAGTGAAAACAGCAACACACATTGGAATACATAAATCAGAAAAAAACTCAGTCCAGTTAACAGTTGAAGAAAACATCAAAAAAGCAAGACGCACTTTATATAGTTTAATGGGATCAGGTCAACATGGAACCAACGGTTTGGACCCAGAAACAATTCTCTCACTAGTTAAAACTTGTGTACTACCTATTCTTACTTATAGACTAGAAATTTTGATCCCAAAAGGAAAATCTCTAACAACTCTTAATCTATACCACAAGAAATTATTAAAACAGCTACTATCATTATCTACAAATACAGCAGACCCAGCCATTTATATACTCTCTGGCATGATACCTATTGAAGCTGAGTTACATATCAAAATTTTGACATTATTTGGGACCATCACGAGTTCAGAAAAAACTTCAAATGTGTGGAGAATAGCGGAAAGGCAGCTTAAATTAAAATCTTTCAATAGTAACAGTTGGTTCATTGATATTAAAAAACTCTGTTTGTTATATAATATAGAAATTATAGAAAACTTATTGGACAATCCACTAACAAAAACAAAATGGAAATCCTTTATAAACAATAAAGTGCAAAGCTACTGGACCAATAAAATTCTTGATGACTCAAAGATGTACTCAACTCTTCGGTATATAAATTGTCAATATTCTATTGGGAAAATACACCCATTGATCACTACAAAAACAGCCAACAATAGAGACATTGTAAGGATTCCTACAAGAACCAAAATTGCTACAGGAACATATATATTTCAATCGAATCGAGCATCATTCAATAAAAACAAAGTCAGTCCAACATGTAAACTTTGTAATAAGAGTCCGGAAATCTTGTCACATTTTTTACTAACATGTGAGTCACTTGAAACCGACAGGAAAAGACTGATGGAGATAATAATTGATATGGGAAGTGAACTTTTAGCAAAATCTTGCTTTGTAGAGGAAGTAGACTTAGTTCAGCTAATTGTTAATCCTTTCTACTATACTGTGGATAAACGTAACAATGAAATTGTTCAAAATATTACTGGACAACTAGACAGTGTGTGTAGACAGCTTATTAACATTCTGCATATGAACCGGTATGAACTGCTAACCAAACAACAAAAATGTGAAAAGAAAAACAATATTTCATGAGGAGTAAATATAAAGTAAACTTTATATGACATTAAGCTGATGATCAGGGTGGGAATCTCCACAGGTATCATCAGTTGTAATCGAATCAAATAGACGGTTATCAACCAATAATAAATTTGGTTATTATATGGGTGCATACAGATTAAAATTAAAGATAAATTTTATCTTTTTATTGTCAAATCATATATTAATTGTACATAACGGTGGCGGTACAGAAGTCATTTTTATTGATATATTACTAAGTATTCATAATTGGATTAGACATTCATTGCGTATTATTATATTGTGTGGTAAAGGATATTATATATATTCAACTCCATTGTAGGTGTGCCTACATAATTTGGCAGAATTTATCTCAATACAGATACAGATACAGGTAAGTATTGTCAAAATTTCATAATGAAAATTTGTCCTTCTCTGGAAATTTTTCATAGATGAGCACAATATTTCATGATACGTGACATGTATATATATTTGTCAATATACTATAATTATTATACCCTCTATTTATTTATGTCTCTATTACTCTAATCATAGTGTCATCTGTATTAGTCTTACAATATTTTCAAGTATTTGTTTACGTCTAGGTGAACTACTGGCTAAAACAATTCTTTTACAATTCAAATTATGAAGAATAGGTTGCAACATTTTGTGATCTCTCTGTAACATCAACTTCCAAGCAAGGACCGAAGCTCATAAACTCGGCAGTTAAACGCAGGACATCGGTAAAGTTCGGAGAGCCGACAGCCTTGCTGTAACATGTGTTTCCTGTTTACATCTCAACCACATGTCAGTCACGTGACAAAAACTTACATGGATCGCTTGAACGTTTGAAGAAAGCAATTTCTGCCTTTATTTAAGGAAAGGGATGAAGTTGTAAATTGATTACACCAACCTTCAAACCGCAATCGTCTTATTTTTCTTTAAAGAAATGATTGATTGTAGTTGAACATTTTAAAGCGAAGAGGTGTTTTGTCGATGGCAACATATTTCGAGAACCTGACTTTTGCAAGTTATTGGATCTTATTGTAAGTGAAAAGATAAATATATAATATGTTTTCACTGAACTCTTAACAGTAGACAATCTTGCGTAACTACGAGTCTACGTGTCCTTGTGTCCAGTATGCTGCTTCTTCTACCGCTGAGTATTCGTGTTGACTCTTCTGTCATTTTTGGGTGTGCACATGGTTAATTTTGAAAATAGAGACTCATTGTTACAGTACTTTAAGAGGAGGGTAGGAATGCCCTTTACCGTCAAGCATGAAACGGTCATTTTCGGCTACCGTTAGCGTCAAATTGGTGAAAATTTTAACGTTATTTGTCAAAATATCCTTATTGTGATTCGAAAAGTTCATCATGTGATTCGTCAAAATCAGACGATTTTTTTATCTTCTAAAAGAAAGTGTACATTTTTTCGTCATGTACCAAAAATTACCGTTAATGTCATTTGGCAAGAGTTTTTACCATTATTCGTCATGAAAGTACCCCCATTATGACCCTCCTTTAGTTGAGTCCAGCTAATCACTTTCAAAAACCAGTTTCGCCACATGTTGTTTTGGCCTATACCATTTTGGCCTTGGTCGTTTCTATTCATAATGTCTTTTTTTCTTAATGTCCGTGTCTATCAATATTTTGAATAGAAAAATAAGAGATAAGTAAATATTTCATTATACCTGATTAAACTTAGAAAATGTCACAGTCGTCAGAGCCAGCCAAAAAAAGAAATGTTCTTATTTGTTATCAGTAAATTGTGTAATCTTGATTAAAATTGATTTGAAAATAGAAAATTAATGTTTTGTTTTGCTTCGAAATATATACCCCCACATCTAATATGCCAAATGTTCAATAAAAAATTGATTTTAAAACAGAAAATTAATGCATTTTTTTGCTTAAAATATTAAAATAATGACTGAACTGGACTTAAGAATAGTTATTATATATAAATAATCTTTTCCACTACAGATACCTTTGTATATTTAATTAGATAATTGGATTAGCTAAGTGATAAAATTAGTGTCTAAGTGATTCACTCATAATGAACCAATCAACTTGATTGTTATTCAATTTAATCATTTCAATACAAGACTGTCACCTGTTTGCTCATTTCATTTGGTGAAGATCAGCACCGTAAATTACGTGGAGGCATGTAGGCAGTTGCCTCTTATGGCGGTCAACTAAATAGAAAAGAGAAACAAAAGACTTACAGAACCTTTTTACAACTTTTATGCCCCCGCTGTAATGGAGGGGGCATCAAGTTTTACCCTTGTCCGGCTGTACGTACGTCCCAAAGTTGGTGTCCATTCTCTAACTTAAGTTTGCCTCAACCAAATGTTATGAAACTTATACACAATGCTTATTACCACAAAACACAGATCAAGTTTGAAATTTGGTGGTGTCACTTTAACTGTTCTAGAGTTATGCTCCTTTACAAATGGAAAAATTGATGAATTTTTTTGTTTCCGTTCTCTAACTTTAGTTTGCCTCTATCAAATATTATGAAACGTACACGCAATGCTTATTACCACAAAATACAGATCTAGTTTGAATTTTGGTGGTGTGACTTTAACCGTTCTAGAGTTATGCCCCTTTACATATGGAAAAATTGCTGAATTTTTTGTTTCCATTCTCTAACTTAATTTTGCCCCAAGGCTCAACCAAATGTTATGAAACTCATACACAATGCTTATTACCACAAAATACAGATCAAGTTTGAATTTTGGTGGTGTCACTTTTACTGTTCTAGAGTTATGCCCCTTTACAAATGGAAAAATTGCTGAATTTTTCGTTTCCGTTCTCTAACTTAAGTTTGCCTCAACTAAATGTTATGAAACTCATACACAATGCTTATTACCACAAAACTCAGATCAAGTACAAATTTGGGTAGCGTCACTTTTACTGTTCTTCAGTTATGTCCCTTTATAACTTTATATGATATGCAAGTGGGGGCATCATCTGTGTCCTATGGACACATTCCCCATTTATTTTTGATATAACATCATTAATAAAAAAGTGCAATAAAGTTATTTTTAAAGTTATGAAAGATATATCAATTGAAAAATGTACAACAAAATCTCTTGTAACATGTTTAATATAAAATAAAAGTATGACCAAAACGACTTTTATTACATGGCCAAAGTAGTATGGCCTAAACGACCATGGCGAACTGGCTCCATGGCCGAGTCGTATTGTTTCTCAGAAATTGTGTTTCCTTCAGGAGGAAGGTTTGGAAGGGTATGATTATATCAATAGTAACGAAAGGGGTAAATCATGAGCAAGTTCACATGTTAATGAACAGTAATATAACTAATATTACATGCATTTCATGAAAATTTCAGAAGCCGGTCCCATCTTCAAATCTTTCTTCAGAATGTATGAATGATTGATTGTGGTTGCTTAACTTCCAGTGGCAAATATTTTATACATTTTCAGGATGAATGAATGATTCTTATTCTAAAAAAAACTATAGTTCGGTACAACACTGGTGTCACAAAGTCAAAATCATTAACTGAACGGTAAAATTTAGACCAATTATGATAATTGTAATTAAGATAAAGGCATTAAAGATAACTTTACCAGGTGGATCGTCAGGTAAATTAAAGCCCAGTAATAAAACCCTACAAGGGTCTAATCTATTATGATTTGTTCTCCCCCTGGGAAATGTAAAACATTGTAAATATGTCTTTCTGCTTGATTAGTCTTTTAATGATTTTGAGTAAAACGTCCTTACTTCTCACTCTACGAAATAGCACAATAGTGCTGAAGTGGCATTATGGACAAATCAATCAATGTACTGCACACTGATGTTAAGTAACTGTGAACAACCTTCAAAATTTTTTTCCTGGAGGCGTGAAAATAGGCTGTATTTTAAAAATACATATATGAAACAAATGTGATTTTTATTGTCCACAAAGTTATACTTTTATGAATGGTAAAAGTTATCAGAAAAGAAGAAATTAAAAAAAAATCTGAATAACTCAGGATGATTATCCTTAGATGACCAAAATAATTGACCTGTACACACAGTATATAAAAGCCATTTTATAAGTATTACCCCCAACTGTAACTGTAGTAGATCCTATTTTTAGAATAACTAAAGTACAGTTTTACACATACACATCATTTTGTAGCTATACTGTATGAACTCTCAAAGGTAGAGATGAGTCCTGGAAGATATAGCGGTAGAGTTAGTGACAACAGGCAATCTTAACCCCCCAAAAATAACTTGGACTTATGATGTGTATTTTCAGGTATTGACATGATTGATGGAAGTGTCAACCCAACCGAAGTAAACATCTTCTGAACCAAATTATTCCTGGAGATACTGTTGTCCAAACATGAGTAGATTTGATCAGCTGTACAGAAAACTTATAGTGACCAAGTTCTTCACTAGAGGCTGGGGAGAACCAGAAAACTTGAAAAAGTTTGTATTTAATAGATCAGAAATCAAATGTTTCATAAAATTTGTAAGAGTGGAGGAAAGCTAGAAAACTTGAAAGAGGTGTGCATATTCTGTGGAGAGTGAGCTAAAATAGAAAATGTGAAGAAAAATTGTGCATTCAGTAAGCCATGGGTTGAAATAAGGACTAATCCACCCAGTTTATGTCTAGCTGAACCCAGGTCCCAAAAATAACTACAATGTATGTAAAGTTTAAGATAGTTGCAGAAGCTACACTTAAGTTAGGTGGTCTGTTTTAATTGTAAAAAGTTAAGTTACACAGGCAATACATATCTCTGTTTTGACTGTTTATAATTTCAATAGTTTGCCTTAGGAAGGACATCTACATTTTATGGAGTGACTGCTCATTTAAAAAGGAGCATTCAAACTCAGTACTTTTCAGAAAAAAAGACATTAAGCAATAATTCTTGGATGTTGAATTTGTTTGTAAAAGTTAATACAAAAATGTTCAGGATTGTTTTGTTTTATCAAATTTTTTATTCAAATTTTGCCAAGTTAAATGATAAACATTACTTAGTTCTTACCCAAGAAGCTCAGAGGAGAAGACTTATCCTATATCTTTTGGCAACTTCTGCATAGTAGTTCTTTGATTTTTTGCAATCTGTTGAGTTTACTTTCACAATTTTGATCGTATAAATACAACACCTGGGCCTTATGAAAAAAGTACATGTATACATCAGCAATGTCTTTGACAATCTTACATTTTATACCTACAGTTCTTGTAAGATTTCAAAGTCCAATAGATTAAATTTTTTGGACTGGTGTCCTTTGAAATGTAAATGATATATGGAAAATCAACATTAACAGTGCTCTCCCACCCACAGTTCTCACTATAGTGTGATTAAGTTTATGTCAAAGGTTCACATTAGCAATACCTTAGGAGAATGTCAACATCTGGGATGATCCATTAGGGGGACTTGTAAATGATATAGAAATTTTACATTGATGAATTTGAAAATTGAGCAAATTGATTATTATTTATGAGAGTTATGCCTCTTCGAAATATAAGTTTTCTGGAAAATTCTGTTTGCAAGTAGGGAAAATGGCTACTCTAGCATTCTTCTTTGTTAAGTTTTTATACGACCGCAAAAATTATAAATTTTTTGGTCGTATATTGGTATGATGTTGGCGTCGTCGTTGTCGTCGTCGTCCGGCGTCGTCTGAAGACACATTGGTTTTCGCACTCTAACTTTAGTTTAAGTGAATGGATCTCCATGAAATTTTACCATAAGGTTCAATACCACAAAAGGAAGGTTGGGATTGATTTTGGGGGTTATGGTACCAACAGTTAAGGAATAAGGGGCCAAAAAGGGGCCAAAAATAAGCATTTTTGTAACTTCCAGACAATAACTTGTGTGTAAGTGTATGGAACTCTCTGACATTGTACCACAAGGTTCCATATCACAAAGGGAAGGCTGTAATTGATTTTGGGGGTAATTGCCTCAAAATTTTAGGAATTAGGGGCCAAAAAAGGGGCAAAAAACAAGCATTTTTCTAGTTTCATGACAATAACTTGTGTGTAAGTGTTTGGATATTTCTGAAATTGTACTACAAGGTTCCATATCACAAAGGGAAAGCTGGAATTGAGTTTGGGGGTAATTGCCCGAAACGTTTAGGAATTGGGGGCCAAAAAGGGGCCAAAAATAAGCATTTTTCTAGTTTCCAGACAATAACTTGTGTTCAAGTGTATGGATCTCTCTGAAATTGTACTGCAAGGTACCATACCACAAAGGGAAGGCTGGGATTGAGTTTGGGCGTGATGAATCATAAGGGGGTTCAAAAAATTTGGGGGGGGGGGGATTTTTTTTTTCTTTTTTTTTTCTTTTTTTGGTTATTTCTGTTTAATATTTAAAAGCAAATAATAATGATATGGTAGGAGATACACACCAAACAGGATGTGTAAATTATTATATAATAAGTATTGTGCAATAGCAAGAAATTTTCAATTGCACAGTATTGCACAATAGCAAGAAATCTTCAATTGCACAGTATTGCGCAATAGCAAGAAATCTTCAATTGCACAGTATTGCGCAATAGCAAGAAATATCCAATAGCACAATATTGCGCAATAGCAAGAAATTGTCAATTGTACAGTATTGCGCAATAGCAAGAAATATTCAATTGCACAGTATTGTGCAAAAGAAGATACTTCGTATAAATTGCTTATTTCTTGATCAATTTCAATGGGGTTTTATTCTAGAATTCTTGGGGTTCTTTAATATGCTGAATCTAACCGTGTATTAAGTTTTTGGATTTTGGGCCCCGTTTTTAAATTGGTCCACATTGAGGTCCAAAGGGTCCAAAATTTAACTTTGTTTGATTTCATCAAAAATTGAATTATTGGGGTTCTTTGATATGCCGAATCTAACCGTGTATTTAGATTCTTAATTTTTGGTTCCGTTTTCAAATTGGTCTACATTAAGGTCCAAAGGGTCCAAAATTAAATTTAGTTTGATTTTAACAAAAATTGAATTTTTAGGGTTCTTTGATATGCTGAATCTAAACATGTATTTAGATTTTTGATTATGGGCCCAGTTTTCAAGTTGGTCCAAATCGGGGTCCAAAATTAAACTTTGTTTGATTTCAACAAAAATTGAATATATGGGGTTCTTTGATATGCTGAATCTAACCATGTATTTAGATTTTTGATTTTTGGGCCCCGTTATCAACTTTGTCCACATTGAGGTCAAAAGGGTCCAAAATTAAACTTTGTTTGATTTCATCAAAAATTGAATTCTTGGGGTTCTTTGATATGCTGAATCTAACCATGTATTTAGATTTTGGATATTGGACCATAATAGGTGAATGTCCAATTTTAAATTTTTAAGTTCTTAGACCACATTCATTCTGTGTCAGAAACCTATGCTGTGTCAAATATTTAATCACAATCCAAATTCAGAGCTGTATCAAGCTTGAATGTTGTGTCCATACTTGCCCCAACTGTTCAGGGTTTGACCTCTGCGGTCGTATCAAGCTGCGCCCTGCTGAGCATTTTATTTGTATTTCAAATAATCAGTACCGAGTTTTTTGTTTTATTGACCATGTAGATCCATTTTAATTCCTGTCTTTTGTTTTGAAGAATATTTGACTTCAGGAAAGTATTAGGAAATAGAGATGCCTGTTACAAACTGGTTCCTCCTGATTACCCAGTTACTATAGACAAGGTAATATATGAAACAGGGAATATGTTTTGGAATTGTACATGATTCTAGAGTTATTTAAGTAACAGTAGTTAATAAAAAAAGCAGAAATGTTGACTTGCATGCCTGTTACCAGCTCAGTATTCAGTCAAAAAGGTAACTTTTGTTGACAACATAATTTATTAGTGGTTAAAATCATTGTGTTGAGATTTGTTGTAAGGCTTTACATTATTGGTTGCATAAAGATCTGTTGTAATGATACTTATATAAAAATAAGGAGATGAGGTATGATTGCAAATGATACACCTATCTACCAGAGACCAGAGGGTGTGGATAGACTTAGTCACTATAACTACATTGTTATTTTATTTTCAAAACTATTCATAATGTTACAGCTGGTAAATAAAATATTTTTATACCACAAAAATATCAGTATTAAATTGGTTCCAATTGCCACATACTTTAATTCCTGATATTGACACAAGAAAAAAACACTTTATACCTTTAAAAATAATGCTTATTTTGCCATAGCAATATGTCTTTTTCTGACCATAATGAGTGACTTATTTTGTTAATGTATTTCACAGGATGAGCTCCAAGGTGATGTTAGAATACTGGAAGGACATTTTGTATCACCATTTAAAAAGTGTGTACCTGGTCTAATGCCAAAGGAAACAGAAATTGCCAGGTATTAATGACGCTTGTTATTAATTTAGTGCCATTTGGAAACAGAAATTGCTAGGTATTAATGATCTTTTTATTTGGTAAAATGTCAAAAGAAATAGAAATTACCAGATATTATATAATGATGTTTATAATTTGTATAATTCTAATAGGAAACAGAAATAGATGATTTTATCTTATGGTAATCACTTTTATACAAAAACAGGAAACAATTTAATTGATTCAATAATGTTAAAACTTTGCTTTATAAGGGGAGATTACTCAGATAATTTCATTTTATAAAACACTATATTTTGTAAGAAAACAGGTATGCTGACTCCAATTTTTATTTTTTATTTTTTCTTAAATCATTTTATAAGAGCAATCTTCTCACACTTTATTAAAAAAAAATCTATCTTTAAATTTTACATAGTACTTTTTTATGTAATCCTCACTATATGAGGTTTTTGCACAGCCTGTATCTAAACTTGTTATTGATTGAATGTTGTTTGGTAAAGTCCAGTGGCAAATATTTCATGCATGTTCAGGACAATCTGAGCTTGTATATTTTACATTGTAGATTTCAAATGGTCTTACCAAAAGAATGGAAAAGTCATCATAAACCTGTGTGTTTACAACTGGCTGGCACAGGAGATCATGTATGCATTATATTCCCCCCTTCCCCCCCCCCCCCCCCAAAAAAAAAAAAAAACATAAAGCAACAACTAAAATAACAAAAACTTACACATACACAACAATTGAGTGTTAAAGATGTCATAAACCTGTTTGTTAACAACTGACAGGAATTGGTGATCATGTATGTATTATCTCCTCCCCTCTTATACACACACACACACCCCAATGTCTGTATTGTACCTACTTTTCACACTCAAAAAGGCAGTAACTGTTAATTATGTATCAACATCCATGTACTATACCTTCACTTTAGACATTCATTGTAGGATATATCATACAGAGAAGGAAGGTGCAACAAGGGCCTTATTTGGCCTAAATTTTTTCTTAAGCTGAAACTTTTAATGATAGATTTATATTTATGTGAATTATAAATTTGAAGTAATATAAGACTAAAACATGTAATGGATCTATTCATGTCACAATAAAATCAGTAAGGATGTTATAAGACCTGTTTTCTGAATCTCAGTGTCTTTTTTTTCAGTATTACTGGAGGAGGAGAACAGTTGTAGCTCGTCCTTTGTTGAAAGAAAGTGGAATTGCATCTATAATTCTTGAAAGTCCATATTGTATCCTTGTATCTTTACATTACAATGAAATTGTGCTACAGTGATAAGTCTTTGTATCCTCTATAGAGGTCTAGGTCTTATGTTTAAGAAATAATTCATGGCAGCCATAGATTTGTTTTCATTTAACCATGGGTTGGGCATTTATATTCGATTATTTTACCCTGAGCGTTAGCGAGGGGTAAAATACGAATATAAATGCCCAACCCATGGTTAAATGAAAACAAATCTACGGCTGCCATGAACTATTTCGATTCTAATAGGACAAATTCGGTAATTTTGTTAACCATGAAAGCCCTATACATACGATACTGTTTTGGCTGTTCCGTTTTACCCAATTTTGATAATATTAGTAATATTATATAATTCAATGATTTTTTTTTTAAACGCATTTTTGACATATATATTTTCTTCCAATGTAATTTTATTCGTTCTGAGGCGTACAAGAAGCTTTAAAACGCCCGGTATTTACATTTGATTTTTTGTTTACGGAAACATATTTGTGACGTCACCTTGTTTCGTTGCCATGTCAAGACAATAACATCATTTCGCGGAATTTTTGTTTTATGAAATTTTACCATGAAAAATAAATTGAAATGGACTGATTTGTTTATTTTGCTGTGGAATAGAGATAAATATATTGTATCTGAAGCTTGGCCTTCGTAAACTGGGGATTTTGATGTCGAAAATTGAGAATATCTGGCAGTATAAATAAGTTGGTCGTAACGCGGGACAGCCGTTGATGTGTATTACTGCGTTTGCGCTTAAGGTAGATATATTGTAATTATACTGGTTGAAGATAATAGGTCGTCATATTAGAATAACAAATTACACAGCCAAGTACAATATGTTACTGATTTTTCCTGCACTGGACTGTATACTTATTTATGTTTCTTATGTATCTAAAGACTCTGTCCAAGCTGCTGAAACAAAAATATGTGACAAATAAGTTGACATTGCATTTTATTTTATATTATACCTCCAAAATTTGAAATAACAAACTTTTCATCAGGGAAGCATTTTTTCAAATGTGAAAGATATGAAGTTTTGAATGAATAAGTATCAGTTTTCTTTACTTCTTCATTGATTCATTTATTATATGCATTTGTGGGACATATGTTGATTTTATTATTCACTTAAGTAAAAATAAATAGGCTTCCTTTTCTTAATGGGACCTATCCCATAAAGGGCTATAGTAAAATAATTCCTACTCTAACCCAAAAGTACAAGGTCCCCTAAAGTAAATAAAGGCCAAATGAAAAGGTCATGAAAATAAAGACTTGGCCCCTGATGAATTTTCATTTAAGGACTGATACCAGTCAGGCATTCTTTCTGATACACATTAGTAGTGCAATACAGGTTTATCTATTACACGTATACCAAAGTGGGGTGTAACATATTCTTCTACATATAAATGGCTTCTTTAACTGAAGATAAGATGGTTTAAGGAAACCTAAAAGACAGTTGTAAGTTTTACCTGTAGTCATTTTTGTTTGCAAGTAAATGTATTTTGGGTGATATGTCAGATTTTGAAAAAATTTTGCAATATTTGAATGATGAACTTTAAGTGGAAAAGAATAATACAACTAGAACTTTTATTTATTTAGAAGTATGAAAGAATTATTTTTTTTAATTGTTCAAGGATGGTAAAAGTTGAATGGGGATTTCAAAAATATTTCAAGGATTTTTCTTAACAAAATGAAATGTTGTTGCCACAATAATACATTTATTTTTGATTTCATTTGGATGTTCAATTTTTCGGGTAAAAATATTCTTTATCAAATTTTTGAAAAGTAATAAATATTAAACTTCAAGTGACTCTTCAGTACAAATATCTTACATCTATATTGCTTACTAAACATATATGTGTATTTATAGTTGCTTTTCAAGGTTTAATAACTACTGAGTATTGTTTCAGGAGGTCCAGTCTACATTATACCTGTGACCTGTTTGTGATGGGAGGAGCCCTCATGTTAGAGTCCCTAGTGTTATTTAACTGGTGTGAACGACATGGCTTTGGACCATTAGGTGTAACAGGCATATCTATGGGTGGATTTGTAAGTACTTTCGTTATTCACTATTGAAAATTTCTTTTACTTAATTTGGACCACACATGATGTGAATCATCCCATATGCATCATACATTTTTGAATTAAAGGACATGTGGGGCATAACTTCAATGAGACAGTAACCCAACAACACAATTAATCAAAAGACATCTTGAGATCAACACAAAGAACTAATTTGGAATGATTTTGTATGAAAAGTCCTCTAAAAAGACCTATTTGTTTCATTAAGTATTGATGAAAAATATGGCAGCAGAGGGTTTTTTGTATAGATATTGACTATTTTTCATAAAGAATTTGCTTAAACTACTAGATACTTTAACCACACTGCATTGACAATTAAAAAACAGACAATAGCCATTTTAATCAAGTGGCAATCATTGCGACAATAGTCAAACATAGTTACTGTTCAGAACTAAAAGCAAATTACATTTTTAGCTTCTTAAGCTTGGCAAATATGAACAAAGCTTGTCAGGGGAAATGTATGCAATGTTCTCTAAATAAATTCAAATCTAAATTTATCAGAAGTAAGACGGAGTAAATATCTGGTAAGGGAGAGATTCCAGTTGCTAGGAGTCTTCAGTCACATAAATATATAAGATCCTGGGACTAAAAAAAAATTATGTCTTGATTTCACTTGCATGAATTTGAAAACTAAAAAAAATTATTTGGTTAAATTCCTGCTCAACCAGCTGGGACTGACCTTTCCTGGATGTGTATCAAAAAGGAAATCTGCTGCCTTTCTATGGCACTTGGAAATGCTGTAACTTTTGCCTTGTTAAATACATTTATATTCTGAATGCTAACATTCAACTTCCAAATATTTATACTGTGTATTGAATTCTAATAGAAATATTAGTTAGTATAATGCATAGACAGGTGAATGATACAGGTTCCATGAAGCCTCTAGTAGACAGGTGAAGGATAAAGGTTCCCTGGAGCCTCTAGTAGACAGGTGAAGGATACAGGTTCCCTGGAGCCTCTAGTAGACAGGTGAAGGATACAGGTTCCCTGGAGCCTCTAGTAGAAAGGTGAAGGATACAGGTTACCTGGAGCCTCTAGTAGACAGGTGAAGGATACAGGTTTCCTGGAGCCTCTAGTAGACAGGTGAATGATACAGGTTCCATGAAGCCTCTAGTAGACAGGTAAAGGATAAAGGTTCCCTGGAGCCTCTAGTAGACAGGTGAAGGATACAGGTTCCCTGGAGCCTCTAGTAGACAGGTGAAGGATACAGGTTCCCTGGAGCCTCTAGTAGACAGGTGAAGGATACAGGTTACCTGGAGCCTCTAGTAGACAGGTGAAGGATACAGGTTTCCTGGAGCCTCTAGTAGACAGGTGAAGGATACAGGTTTCCTGGAGCCTCTAGTAGACAGGTGAAGGATACAGGTTCCCTGGAGCCTCTAGTTGACAGGTGAATGACACAGGTTCCCTGGAGCCTCTAGTTGACAGGTGAAGGATACAGGTTCCCTGGAGACTCTAGTAGACAGGTGAATGATACAGGTTCCCTGGAGCCTCTAGTAGACAGGTGAAGGATACAGGTTCCTTGGAGCCTCTAGTAGACAGGTGAAGGATACAGGTTCCCTGGAGCCTCTTGTATTTTTTACAGTTTTGTTGAGTTGATGTTTGTATCCATTAATCAAAGATAATAATATTTTCTATTAATATATTTTCTTTTCCATTTTAGATGGCCTCCCTTGCAGCATCAGTTTATCCAAAGCCAATATCATTGATCCCATGTTTATCATGGACAACAGCCTCCACTGTCTTCACAAAGGTAATATGGCCTCCCTTGCTGTGTCTGTATATCCAAAGCCTAGTATACATATAATAAATCACTCTTTAATAACTTATGATGAATGAATGTAAGTAAATTGAGTAATAATGGAAGTACCTTATTGTTTTTAATTCATGGATGCATTTAATTCTTTTTTCAGGGAGTAATGAGCGAGTCAATACCATGGAAGGTTCTTGAAAATCAATATTCAGTGGACACTGTTTATGCTGATGAGATCAAACGCACACTTGTCTCCCCTGAACAGGTAAATATGCACACTTATCTCCCCTGAACAAGTAAATTAAATGTTACTTGGAAGCATGATATAAACTGATTGGCAAAGAATCAATGTTCAGTGTAATAGTCGGTCAACATTTTTTTATGAAGAGATCTAACACATGATTATCTCTTGTAAACATGAAAGTTGGTCTTAAGAGCATACGATACAGTTACAGGGGAGATAATGACGTTGCCAACATAAAATGTTATTTTTGAGATGTCAAACTGTGACATATCGGGAAAAGATACATTTTTCTACTGATTTTAATCATTAGCATGAGTATTATGAAGATAATTTGTACCAATTTTTATGAACAAATCTCCGATGTATTTTTTTTAAATTAAATAAATATAAAGCAAAAATTGCGTTTTTTTTTCTAAAATCATGAAAATTTAATGAAAATGAATTATTTACAAAGAATTGCTTCATATATTTAAAGCATACTTATATAATGAAGATATTCCAGATGTTTTTACAAATAAACGCTTGTGTCTATCTTTGAAACAAAAAAGTTAGGTATGTCTGTCCAAAGGATAGAAATTTCCAAGAAAGCCAAATTTTGGCCAAATGTCTAAAATTTCATTCCCATTTATCTCTAAAAGTAGCACATGAAGGTATATTGTATATTATACATTTGAATTGACTGGGTAAAAAATAGCATGTATGCAAATTGTCGTAAAAAAATCACAGTGGGATCAAAACTGTATTGTATGCCCTTAAGGGTGCCTTATATGATTTTTTATACGCCCGTTTACGGGACGTATTATGGTATACTGTTGTCCGTCTGTCCGTCCGTCCGTCTGTCCGTCCGTCTGTCCGTCGTCAACATGTCGGACATTAACTCAAAAATGCTTTAACCAATTTGCATAAAACTTTGGTGAATTGTTTATATCTATTGACATGAGCTCCCTTTCGTTTTTTATAAAATTTAGATTTTACGTTTCCGAGTTATGGGGTTTTATTCATTAAAAAAAGGGGGATTTTCCAGTTTTCAGACAAAAAGTTAAGAATGCTTTCACCAACTTGCAAGAAATTGTGGTGAATTGTTTATATCTATTGACATGAGCTCCCTTTCCATTTTTATAAATTTTAAATTTTACGTTTCTGAGTCACAGGGTTTATTCATAAAAAAAGGGGGGATTTTCCAGTTTTCGGACAAAAACTCCAAAATTCTTTCAGCAATTTTTATGAAACTTTGGCAAATTGTCGTAAAAAAATCACAGTGGGATCAAAACTGTATTGTATGCCCTTAAGGGTGCCTTATATGATTTTTTATACGCCCGTTTACGGGACGTATTATGGTATACTGTTGTCCGTCTGTCCGTCCGTCCGTCTGTCCGTCCGTCTGTCCGTCGTCAACATGTCGGACATTAACTCAAAAATGCTTTAACCAATTTGCATAAAACTTTGGTGAATTGTTTATATCTATTGACATGAGCTCCCTTTCGTTTTTTATAAAATTTAGATTTTACGTTTCCGAGTTATGGGGTTTTATTCATTAAAAAAAGGGGGATTTTCCAGTTTTCAGACAAAAAGTTAAGAATGCTTTCACCAACTTGCAAGAAATTGTGGTGAATTGTTTATATCTATTGACATGAGCTCCCTTTCCATTTTTATAAATTTTAAATTTTACGTTTCTGAGTAACAGGGTTTATTCATAAAAAAAGGGGGGATTTTCCAGTTTTCGGACAAAAACTGCAAAATTCTTTCAGCAATTTGTATGAAACTTTGGCAAATTGTCATAAAAAAATCACAGTGGGATCAAAACTGTATTGTATGCCCTTAAGGGTGCCTTATATTATTTTTTATATGCCCGTTTACGGGACGTATTATGGTATACCGTTGTCCGTCTGTCCGTCCGTCTGTCCGTCGTCAACATGTCGGACATTAACTCAAAAATGCTTTAATCAATTTGCATAAAACTTTGGTGAATTGTTTATATCTATTGACATGAGCTCCCTTTCGTTTTTTATAAAATTTAGATTTTACGTTTCCGAGTTATGGGGTTTTATTCATTAAAAAAGGGGGATTTTCCAGTTTTCAGACAAAAAGTTAAGAATGCTTTCACCAACTTGCAAGAAATTGTGGTGAATTGTTTATATCTATTGACATGAGCTCCCTTTCCATTTTTATAAATTTTAAATTTTACATTTCTGAGTCACAGGGTTTATTCATAAAAAAAGGGGGGATTTTCCAGTTTTCGGACAAAAACTCCAAAATTCTTTCAGCAATTTGTATGAAACTTTGGCAAATTGTCGTAAAAAAATCACAGTGGGATCAAAACTGTATTGTATGCCCTTAAGGGTGCCTTATATTATTTTTTATACGCCCATTTACGGGACGTATTATGGTATACCGTTGTCCGTCTGTCCGTCCGTCTGTCCGTCCGTCTGTCCGTCGTCAACATGTCGGACATTAACTCAAAAATGCTTTTACCAATTTGCATAAAACTTTGGTGAATTGTTTATATCTATTGACATGAGCTCCCTTTCGTTTTTTTAAAAATTTAGATTTTACGTTTCCGAGTTATGGGGTTTTATTCATTAAAAAAAGGGGGATTTTCCAGTTTTCAGACAAAAAGTTAAGAATGCTTTCACCAACTTGCAAGAAATTGTGGTGAATTGTTTATATCTATTGACATGAGCTCCCTTTCCATTTTTATAAATTTTAAATTTTACGTTTCTGAGTAACAGGGTTTATTCATAAAAAAAGGGGGGATTTTCCAGTTTTCGGACAAAAACTCCAAAATTCTTTCAGCAATTTGTATGAAACTTTGGCAAATTGTCGTAAAAAAATCACAGTGGGATCAAAACTGTATTGTATGCCCTTAAGGGTGCCTTATATTATTTTTTATACGCCCGTTTACGGGACGTATTATGGTATACCGTTGTCCGTCTGTCCGTCCGTCTGTCCGTCGTCAACATGTCGGACATTAACTCAAAAATGCTTTAACCAATTTGCATAAAACTTTGGTGAATTGTTTATATCTATTGACATGAGCTCCCTTTCGTTTTTTATAAAATTTAGATTTTACGTTTCCGAGTTATGGGGTTTTATTCATTAAAAAAAGGGGGATTTTCCAGTTTTCAGACAAAAAGTTAAGAATGCTTTCACCAACTTGCAAGAAATTGTGGTGAATTGTTTATATCTATTGACATGAGCTCCCTTTCCATTTTTATAAATTTTAAATTTTACGTTTCTGAGTCACAGGGTTTATTCATAAAAAAAGGGGGGATTTTCCAGTTTTCGGACAAAAACTCCAAAATTCTTTCAGCAATTTGTATGAAACTTTGGTGAATTGTTTGTATGTATTGATGTAAGCTCCCTTTAGAATTTTATAAATTTTACATTTTACATTTCTGAGTTATGGGGTTTTATTCATTAAAAAAAGGGGTGATTTTCCAGTTTTCGGACAATAACTCAATAATGCTGTCACCAATTCTCATGAAACTTTGGTGAATCGTTTATATCTATTGATATTTTATTTCCATAAATTTCTAATATGACATCGAGAATTAATTGAACTTTATTTGTTTATAGTCTGACAACAGATTTACTAAGAATTGGGGACTATTGCACAACAGCAAGAAATCTTTAATTGAATATAAATTCAATTCATATAACCAATTTCAAGTTCTTTGACTACATTTATTCAGAAACCTATAATATGTAAAATATTTAATTACAATCCAAATTCAGACCTGAATCAAGCTTGAATATTGTGTCCATTTTTGCCCCAACTGTTCAGGGTTGGACCTCTGCGGGCGTATCTAGCTGCGCTCAGCGATATAATTTTTTTCTGTTTTGGAGGCATTTAATATAGACTGTTTCCTATTATCAGAACTAGATATTCTATTATCAAAATTATATAATCATTAAAAAAAACATTGCAATGTTAAAAGTTATTTTCAAAGTTTTAAATCACATTTTTATGCCCTGCCCTCCTGGTTAAAAGTTTTGGTTGAACATTTTCATCACTGATTTAAGGTTAATGACCCCTTCTGTAGGCATGTGTATTACAAAATATTCAAAGTGCTACAATATCAAAACAGTAAAAATACAGAAGAAAAGTGACGTGCCATTTTGTACATATACCAAAGGGAAACATTGTTCAAAGCAATACATGTACTGTTAAATGTTTCATTGCATTTAATAGAAAATAAGGATTTGGTGGCTACTAAAGCTAAGATTTTTGCAAAAAAAACCCACAGAATTTATTACAGAGATTTTCGTTAAAAAATTTAAACATCGATTACTCACTTGTTTGTCCATGATGTGCTAGCGTTTATTGTCTACAAAATGTCCTAAACAACTTTTACAATCCAAAATACCTAGTGCTGAGCCACTAAATTCCAGCACCCTAGAAGGTGTTCTTGAATAAGTTCATTTCTATAACCAATATCTTTATTTACATACTTGCATTAGGGATATCGTTGCTAGCACTGCATGCAATAATCCTCCATGTATTAAGCACCAAATGGTCAAATATAGGAGTACAAAAGGAAAGGCAGCAGATTTTTTATAAAATTTCCATATGTTTAGCATTGAAACAACATAAGAGTACATTATCCCTGGTATTTTCCACAGGTTTCTGTGGCAGAGAAACATTCACACAAGCTGATTGTTTAATCTGCATAAGTTTTGTGACAGGTCCTCTGAGAAAAGTTGCAACTCGAAAAACAGGCTATAACTTGATAATGCAGATATTAATCGACTAAATAATTAATAATTAAGTAGTATTGATTGCACTCTGTAATATTTTTTGCAGTAAATTCAAGAACATTATCATTACAAGGCTTGACAGTTTGATTTTGTTTTTAACATTGTTTGTTCAATGTTGCTGAAACGGATGAACTTAAAAAACATAGTCACAGGTAAATTATATTAAAATTGAATTATATTTTAATGTAGGTTTTAGGTTCCACTTATAACATGGGACATGAATTTGTCAAAACCTACTCTGACAAGCTTGAAGATTTAAAGTTAAACCAGTCTCCTGCAGAAATGGAGAATATCTTGAAAGAAAGAAACAGTCATACTTTCAACGATCATGGTGATAAAATGGATGTCCAAGCTGATATAGATTCAATGGAAGACTACTTAGTTAAGAAATCTGGATGTAAGGGAGATAATGAGACCGTGGGTAAATCCACTATAGACAGGAAAAGTCTTAAAGATAATGCCCTGGATTTTATGAGAGGAGTTATGGATGAGTGCACACATTTAGGAAATTTTTCTGTTCCAGTGGACCCAAGTCTGATAATTATTGTAGCAGCCAACCATGATGCCTATGTACCGAGGACCAATGTTATAAGTTTGGAGCAATTATGGCCCGGTTCTCAAGTCAGATACATAGACTCAGGACATATAAATGCTTTCCTATTCCACAATGTACAATTTAGGTGAGTTTTATCATGTCAGATATATAGACTCAGGACATATAAATGCTTTCCTATTCCACAATGTACAATTTAGGTGAGTTTTATCAAGTCAGATATATAGACTCAGGACATATCAATGCTTTTCTATTCCACAATGTACAATTTAGGTGAGTTTTATCATGTCAGATATATAGACTCAGGACATATCAATGCTTTTCTATTCCACAATGTACAATTTAATCGAGTCAGATACTAGACTCAGGACATATCAATGCTTTTCTATTCCACAATGTACAATTTAGGTAAGTTTTATCATGTCAGATATATAGACTCAGGACATATCAATGCTTTTCTATTCCACAATGTACAATTTAGGTGAGTTTTATCAAGTCAGATATATAGACTCAGGACATATCAATGCTTTTCTATTCCACAATGTACAATTTAGGTGAGTTTTATCATGTCAGATATATAGACTCAGGACATATCAATGCTTTTCTATTCCACAATGTACAATTTAGGTGAGTTTTATCATGTCAGATATATAAACTCAGGACATATCAATGCTTTTCTATTCCACAATGTACATTTTAGGTGAGTTTTATCAAGTCAGATATATAGACTCAGGACATATCAATTCTTTTCTTTTCCACAATGTACAATTTAGGTGAGTTTTATCAAGTCAGATATATAGACTCAGGACATATCAATGCTTTTCTATTCCACAATGTACAATTTAGGTGAGTTTTATCATGTCAGATATATAGACTCAGGACATATCAATGCTTTTCTATTCCACAATGTACAATTTAGGTGAGTTTTATCAAGTCAGATATATAGACTCAGGACATATCAGTGCTTTTCTTTTCCACAATGTACAATTTAGGTGAGTTTTATCAAGTCAGATATATAGACTCAGGACATATCAATGCTTTTCTATTCCACAATGTACAATTCAGGTGAGTTTCATCGAGTCAGATATATAGACTCAGGACATATCAATGCTTTTCTATTCCACAATGTACAATTTAGGTGAGTTTTATCAAGTCAGACAATAGACTCAGGACATATCAATGCTTTTTTATTCCACAATGTACAATTTAGGTGAGTTTTATCAAGTCAGATTTATAGACTCAGGACATATCAATTCTTTTCTATTCCACAATGTACAATTTAGGTGAGTTTTATCAAGTCAGACAATAGACTCAGGACATATCAATGCTTTTCTATTCCACAATGTACAATTTAGGTGAGTTTTATCAAGTCAGATTTATAGACTCAGGACATATCAATGCTTTTCTATTCCACAATGTACAATTTAGGTGAGTTTCATCATGTCAGATATATAGACTTAGGACATATCAATGCTTTTCTATTCCACAACGTACAATTTAGGTGAGTTTTATCATGTCAGATATATAGACTCAGGACATATCAATGCTTTTCTATTCCACAATGTACAATTTAGGTGAGTTTTATCATGTCAGATATATAGACTCAGGACATATCAATGCTTTTCTATTCCACAATGTACAATTCAGGTGAGTTTCATCGAGTCAGATATATAGACTCAGGACATATCAATGCTTTTCTATTCCACAATGTACAATTTAGGTGAGTTTTATCATGTCAGATATATAGACTCAGGACATATCAATGCTTTTCTATTCCACAACGTACAATTTAGGTGAGTTTTATCATGTCAGATATATAGACTCAGGACATATCAATGCTTTTCTATTCCACAATGTACAATTTAGGTGAGTTTTATCATGTCAGATATATAGACTCAGGACATATCAATGCTTTTCTATTCCACAATGTACATTTTAGGTGAGTTTTATCAAGTCAGATATATAGACTCAGGACATATCAATTCTTTTCTTTTCCACAATGTACAATTTAGGTGAGTTTTATCAAGTCAGATATATAGACTCAGGACATATCAATGCTTTTCTATTCCACAATGTACAATTCAGGTGAGTTTCATCGAGTCAGATATATAGACTCAGGACATATCAATGCTTTTCTATTCCACAATGTACAATTTAGGTGAGTTTTATCAAGTCAGACAATAGACTCAGGACATATCAATGCTTTTCTATTCCACAATGTACAATTTAGGTGAGTTTTATCAAGTCAGATTTATAGACTCAGGACATATCAATTCTTTTCTATTCCACAATGTACAATTTAGGTGAGTTTTATCATGTCAGATATATAGACTTAGGACATATCAATGCTTTTCTATTCCACAATGTACAATTTAGGTGAGTTTTATCATGTCAGATATATAGACTCAGGACATATCAATGCTTTTCTATTCCACAATGTACAATTTAGGTGAGTTTTATCATGTCAGATATATAGACTCAGGACATATCAATGCTTTTCTATTCCACAATGTACAATTTAGGTGAGTTTTATCATGTCAGATATATAGACTCAGGACATATCAATGCTTTTCTATTCCACAATGTACATTTTAGGTGAGTTTTATCAAGTCAGATATATAGACTCAGGACATATCAATTCTTTTCTTTTCCAAAATGTACAATTTAGGTGAGTTTTATCAAGTCAGATATATAGACTCAGGACATATCAATGCTTTTCTTTTCCAAAATGTACAATTTAGGTGAGTTTTATCAAGTCAGATATATAGACTCAGGACATATCAATGCTTTTCTATTCCACAATGTACAATTCAGGTGAGTTTCATCGAGTCAGATATATAGACTCAGGACATATCAATGCTTTTCTATTCCACAATGTACAATTTAGGTGAGTTTTATCAAGTCAGATATATAGACTCAGGACATATCAATGCTTTTCTATTCCACAATGTACAATTTAGGTGAGTTTTATCAAGTCAGATATATAGACTCAGGACATATCAATGCTTTTCTATTCCACAATGTACAATTCAGGTGAGTTTCATCAAGTCAGATATATAGACTCAGGACATATCAATGCTTTTCTATTCCACAATGTACAATTTAGGTGAGTTTTATCAAGTCAGACAATAGACTCAGGACATATCAATGCTTTTCTATTCCACAATGTACAATTTAGGTGAGTTTTATCAAGTCAGATTTATAGACTCAGGACATATCAATGCTTTTCTATTCCACAATGTACAATTTAGGTGAGTTTTATCATGTCAGATATATAGACTTAGGACATATCAATGCTTTTCTATTCCACAACGTACAATTTAGGTGAGTTTTATCATGTCAGATATATAGACTCAGGACATATCAATGCTTTTCTATTCCACAATGTACAATTTAGGTGAGTTTTATCATGTCAGATATATAGACTCAGGACATATCAATGCTTTTCTATTCCACAATGTACAATTTAGGTGAGTTTTATCAAGTCAGATATATAGACTCAGGACATATCAGTGCTTTTCTTTCCCACAATGTACAATTTAGGTGAGTTTCATCGAGTCAGATATATAGACTCAGGACATATCAATGCTTTTCTATTCCACAATGTACAATTCAGGTGAGTTTCATCGAGTCAGATATATAGACTCAGGACATATCAATGCTTTTCTTTTCCACAATGTACAATTTAGGTGAGTTTTATCAAGTCAGACAATAGACTCAGGACATATCAATGCTTTTCTATTCCACAACATACAATTTAGGTGAGTTTTATCATGTCAGATATATAGACTTAGGACATATCAATGCTTTTCTATTCCACAACGTACAATTTAGGTGAGTTTTATCATGTCAGATATATAGACTTAGGACATATCAATGCTTTTCTATTCCACAACGTACAATTTAGGTGAGTTTTATCATGTCAGATATATAGACTCAGGACATATCAATGCTTTTCTATTCCACAATGTACAATTTAGGTGAGTTTTATCATGTCAGATATATAGACTCAGGACATATCAATGCTTTTCTATTCCACAATGTACAATTTAGGTGAGTTTTATCATGTCAGATATATAGACTCAGGACATATCAATGCTTTTCTATTCCACAATGTACATTTTAGGTGAGTTTTATCAAGTCAGATATATAGACTCAGGACATATCAATTCTTTTCTTTTCCACAATGTACAATTTAGGTGAGTTTTATCAAGTCAGATATATAGACTCAGGACATATCAATGCTTTTCTATTCCACAATGTACATTTTAGGTGAGTTTTATCAAGTCAGATTTATAGACTCAGGACATATCAATTCTTTTCTATTCCACAATGTACAATTTAGGTGAGTTTTATCATGTCAGATATATAGACTCAGGACATATCAATGCTTTTCTATTCCACAATGTACAATTTAGGTGAGTTTTATCATGTCAGATATATAGACTTAGGACATATCAATGCTTTTCTATTCCACAACGTACAATTTAGGTGAGTTTTATCATGTCAGATATATAGACTCAGGACATATCAATGCTTGTCTATTCCACAATGTACAATTTAGGTGAGTTTTATCAAGTCAGATATATATAGACTCAGGATATATCAATGCTTGTCTATTCCACAATGTACAATTTAGGTGAGTTTTATCAAGTCAAATTTATAGACTCAGGACATATCAATGCTTTTCTATTCCACAGTGTACAATTTAGGTGAGTTTTATCATGTCAGATATATAGACTCAGGACATATCAATGCTTTTCTATTCCACAATGTACAATTTAGGTGAGTTTTATCATGTCAGATATATAGACTCAGGACATATCAATGCTTTTCTATTCCACAATGTACAATTTAGGCGAGTTTTATCATGTCAGATATATAGACTCAGGACATATCAATGCTTTTCTATTCCACAATGTACAATTTAGGTAAGTTTTATCAAGTCAGATATATAGACTCAGGACATATCAATGCTTTTCTATTCCACAATGTACAATTTAGGTGAGTTTCATCGAGTCAGATATTAGACTCAGAACATTTCAATGCTTTTCTTTTCCACAATGTACAATTTAGGTGAGTTTTATCATGTCAGATATATAGACTCAGGACATGTCAATGCTTTTCTATTCCACAATGTACAATTTAGGTGAGTTTCATCGAGTCAGAAATTAGACTCAGGACATATCAATGCTTTTCTTTTCCACAATGTACAATTTAGGTGAGTTTTATCAAGTCAGATACACTGTATATAGACTCAGGACATATCACTGTTTTTCTATTCCACAATGTACAATTTAGGTGAGTTTCATCGAGTCAGATATTAGACTCAGGACATATCAATGCTTTTCTTTTCCACAATGTTCAATTTAGGTAAGTTTTTGGTAGTTAAGCTTTTTCCACTCAGTTATTAAGTTGGAATGTTTATTGTAGTGTTCTAATGACAGATACAGTCAAACCTTGTATTGTTCTAATGACAGATACAGTCAAACCTTGTTGTATTGTTCTAATGACAGATACAGTCAAACCTTGTTGTATTGTTCTAATGACAGATACAGTCAAACCTTGTTGTATTGTTCTAATGACAGATACAGTCAAACCTTGTTGTATTGTTCTAATGACAGATATAGTCAAACCTTGTTGTATTGTTCTAATGACAGATACAGTCAAACCTTGTTGTATTGTTCTAATGACAGATATAGTCAAACCTTGTTGTATTGTTCTAATGACAGATACAGTCAAACCTTGTTGTATTGTTCTAATGGCAGATATAGTCAAACCTTGTTGTATTGTTCTAATGACAGATACAGTCAAACCTTGTTGTATTGTTCTAATGACAGATACAGTCAAACCTTGTTGTATTGTTCCAATGACAATTATAGTCAAACCTTGTTGTATTGTTCAAATGACAGATACAGTCAAACCTTGTTGTATTGTTGTAATGACAATTATAGTCAAACCTTGTTGTATTGTTCTAATGACAGATACAGTCAAACCTTGTTGTATTGTTCTAATGACAGATACAGTCAAACCTTGTTGAATTGTTCTAATGACAGATACAGTCAAACATTGTTGTATTGTTCTAATGACAGATATAGTCAAACCTTGTTGTATTGTTCTAATGACAGATACAGTCAAACCTTGTTGTATTGTTCTAATGACAGATATAGTCAAACCTTGTTGTATTGTTCTAATGACAGATACAGTCAAACCTTGTTGTATTGTTCTAATGGCAGATATAGTCAAACCTTGTTGTATTGTTCTAATGACAGATACAGTCAAACCTTGTTGTATTGTTCTAATGACAGATACAGTCAAACCTTGTTGTATTGTTCCAATGACAATTATAGTCAAACCTTGTTGTATTGTTCAAATGACAGATACAGTCAAACCTTGTTGTATTGTTGTAATGACAATTATAGTCAAACCTTGTATTGTTCTAATGACAGATACAGTCAAACCTTGTTGTATTGTTCTAATGACAGATACAGTCAAACATTGTTGTATTGTTCCAATGACAACTATAGTCAAACCTTGTTGTATTGTTCTAATGACAGATACAGTCAAACCTTGTTGTATTGTTCTAATGACAGATACAGTCAAACCTTGTTATGTTGTTCTAATGACAGATACAGTCAAACCTTGTTGTATTGTTCTAATGACAGATACAGCCAAACCTTGTTATGTTGTTTTAATGACAGATACAGTCAAACCTTGTTGTATTGTTCTAATGACAGATACAGTCAAACCTTGTTGTATTGTTCTAATGACAGATACAGCCAAACCTTGTTGTATTGTTCTAATGACAGAGACAGTCAAACCTTGTTGTATTGTTCTAATGACAGATTCAGTCAAACCCTGTTATGTTGTTCTAATGACAGATTCAGTCAAACCTTGTTGTGTTCAAATCACTTGTGTCTAAACTAGATAAATCAAGGTATTTTGTCATGTAAAATTCATGTTTGTTTAAAGCATTTTAGTCTCACCTGCAACAACAGCCACAAAAGACACAGGAGCTGTAACTTGTGACCACTTTTCAGATCTTTCAGGGGAATATATTCCATTCACCTTGCCTGTCTGTCTGCCTGTTTTTCAAACAAATATTTCTGTCACACTTTTCTTAAGTACTACTAAACAGAATGACTTCATATTTAGTCAGCATCTTGACAGTAAGGAGTGTAACATGTGACCACTTTTCAGATCTTTCAGGCACATACTTCCTGTTTGCCGATACTTTTAAAATTTCAATATGTTGAATGAAATTAGAAATTTGTGTCACACTTTTCTCAAGTACAATTAAACAGATTTCATATTTGGTAAACAGTTTGACAGTGATAATTTATCTGTTAACATTTTTGTTTTTTGATCTACAAACACTGTACTTCCTTGTTTATCTATACTTTGATAAGATAGTGTAGACCATATTTAGGTATATTTAACATTGGGAGCATAAAAATTAAAGAGGTAGAAAGTAATAAAGTGAAAAAAACTGAAACAAATTAACAAAAGCCATTTCTTGTTAACTTTGCCTTAAGTTTTACTACAATTACCTTATTTAAAAAAAAAATAATGTGTATGAAAATTTAATTTTTTAAAACATGCAATTATGTGGTAAATGTTTGTATATTTCAGGCACGCTATTGCTGATTCATTTACGGAGCAGATTAGAAAATATCACAGTTAACCCAGGGAAAACATAGGTCTTTACATCAGTTAACCCAGGGAAAACATAGGTCTTTACATCAGTTAACCGTCTTTACATCAGTTAACCCAGGAAAAACATCGGTCTTTACATCAGTATTACACCATTGGCAGCATTTAATCAGATTTATGTGTTCAATTGTGATGTAACTTGATGTACACTACGAAAGTCAGCTAGCTCTTAGTCAGATCTTAGTCAATATTTTAATGATCTTAATTAAATGTGAAGTAATTTGATGTACATGACAGTAGACAGTGAATTATTAAGTCAGATCTTTGTCAATATTTTAAAAGATTTTTTAAGTCATTTTTATACGACCGCAAAAATTAAAAATTTTTTGGTCGTATATTGGTATGACGTTGGCGTCGTCGTCGTCGTCGTCGTCGTCGTCGTCGTCGTCTTCGTCCGGCGTCGTCCGGCGTCGTCCGAAGACACATTGGTTTTCGCACTCTAACTTTAGTTTAAGTGAATGGATCTCCATGAAATTTCACCATAAGATTCAATACCACAAAAGGAAGGTTGGGATTGATTTTGGGGGTTATGGTACCAACAGTTAAGGAATTAGGGGCCAAAAAGGGGCCAAAAATAAGCATTTTTGTAACTTTCAGACAATAACTTGTGTGTAAGTGTATGGATCTCTCTGACATTGTACCACAAGGTTCCATATCACAAAGGGAAGGCTGTAATTGATTTTGGGGGTAATTGCCTCAAAATTTTAGGAATTAGGGGCCAAAAAAGGGGCAAAAAACAAGCATTTTTCTAGTTTCATGACAATAACTTGTGTGTTAGTGTTTGGATATTTCTGAAATTGTACTACAAGGTTCCATATCACAAAGGGAAAGCTTGAATTGAGTTTGGGGGTAATTGCCCGAAACGTTTAGGAATTGGGGGCCAAAAAGGGGCCAAAAATAAGCATTTTTCTAGTTTCCAGACAATAACTTGTGTTCAAGTGTATGGATCTCTCTGAAATTGTACTGCAAGGTACCATACCACAAAGGGAAGGCTGGGATTGAGTTTGGGGGTGATGAATCATAAGGGGGTTCAAAAAATTTGGGGGGGGGATTTTTTTTTTTTTTTTTTTTCTTTTTTTCCTTTTTTTTTTCTTTTAAAATTTTCCATTTTAAGTTGGTTATTTCTGATTTATATTTAAAAGCAAATAATAATGATATGGTAGGAGATACACACCAAACAGGATGTGTAAATTATTATATAATAAGTATTGTGCAATAGCAAGAAATTTTCAATTGCACAGTATTGCACAATAGCAAGAAATCTTCAATTGCACAGTATTGCGCAATAGCAAGAAATCTTCAATTTAACAGTATTGCGCAATAGCAAGAAATATCCAATAGCACAATATTGCGCAATAGCAAGAAATTGTCAATTGTACAGTATTGCGCAATAGCAAGAAATATTCAATTGCACAGTATTGTGCAAAAGAAGATACTTCGTATAAATTGCTTATTTCTTGATCAATTTCAATGGGGTTTTATTCTTGAATTCTTGGGGTTCTTTAATATGCTGAATCTAACCGTGTATTAAGTTTTTGGATTTTGGGCCCCGTTTTTAAATTGGTCCACATTGAGGTCCAAAGGGTCCAAAATTAAACTTTGTTTGATTTCATCAAAAATTGAATTATTGGGGTTCTTTGATATGCCGAATCTAACCGTGTATTTAGATTTTTAATTTTTGGGTCCCGTTTTTTAAATTTGTCTACATTAAGGTCCAAAGGGTCCAAAATTAAACTTAGTTTGATTTTAACAAAAATTGAATTCTTAGGGTTCTTTGATATGCTGAATCTAAACATGTGTTTAGATTTTTGATTATGGGCCCAGTTTTCAAGTTGGTCCAAGTTGGGGTCCAAAATTAAACTTTGTTTGATTTCAACAAAAATTGAATATATGGGGTTCTTTGATATGCTGAATCTAAACATGTATTAAGATTTTAGATTTTTGGCCCAGTTTTCAAGTTGGTCCAAATTGGGGTCCAAAATTAAACTTTGTTTGATTTCAACAAAAATTGAATATATGGGATTCTTTGATATGCTGAATCTTACCATGTATTTAGATTTTTTATTTGTGGGCCCGCTATCAAATTGGTTTACATTGAGGTCAAAAGGGTCCAAAATTAAACTTTGTTTGATTTCATCAAAAATTGAATTATTGGGGTTCTTTGATATGCCAAATCTAACCGTGTATTTAGATTTTTAATTTTGGGTCCTGTTTTTTAAATTGGTCTACATTAAGGTCCAAAGGGTCCAAAATTAAACTTAGTTTGATTTTAACAAAAATTGAATTTTTGGGGTTCTTTGATATGCTGAATCTAAACATGTGTTTAGATTTTTGATTATGGGACCAGTTTTCAAGTTGGTCCAAGTTGGGGTCCAAAATTAAACTTTGTTTGATTTCAACAAAAATTGAATATATGGGGTTCTTTGATATGCTGAATCTAAACATGTATTTAGATTTTAGATTTTTGGCCCAGTTTTCAAGTTGGTCCAAATTGGGGTCCAAAATTAAACTTTGTTTGATTTCAACAAAAATTGAATATATGGGGTTCTTTGATATGCTGAATCTTACCATGTATTTAGATTTTTTATTTGTGGGCCCGCTATCAAATTGGTTCATATTGAGGTCAAAAGGGTCCAAAATTAAACTTTGTTTGATTTCATCAAAAATTGAATTATTGGGGTTCTTTGATATGCCAAATCTAACCGTGTATTTAGATTTTTAATTTTGGGTCCTGTTTTTTAAATTGGTCTACATTAAGGTCCAAAGGGTCCAAAATTAAACTTAGTTTGATTTTAACAAAAATTGAATTTTTGGGGTTCTTTGATATGCTGAATCTAAACATGTGTTTAGATTTTTGATTATGGGACCAGTTTTCAAGTTGGTCCAAGTTGGGGTCCAAAATTAAACTTTGTTTGATTTCAACAAAAATTGAATATATGGGGTTCTTTGATATGCTGAATCTAACCATGTATTTTGATTTTGGACATTGGACCATAATAGGTAAATTAAAAAAATTGAAGTTCTTAGACCACATTCTTTCTGTGTCAGAAACCTATGCTGTGTCAAATATTTAATCACAATCCAAATTCAGAGCTGTATCAAGCTTGAATGTTGTGTCCATACTTGCCCCAACTGTTCAGGGTTCGACCTCTGCGGTCGTATCAAGCTGCGCCCAGCGAAGCATTTTATTATTTAATGTGAAGTAATATGATGTACACAACAGAAGTCAGTCAGATCTCAGTCATATCTTAGTCAAATTATATTGATTTAAATGTGAAGTTATTGATTTACATGACAGAAGTCAGTCAGATCTAAGTCAAATTATATTGATATAAATGTGACGTAACTGATTTACATGACAGAAGTCAGTTAGTTCCTAGTCAATGATTTTAGTTTAATGATTATCTTGAAGAATATCATCTATTGATTTATTTAATGATTATCTTGAAGAATATCATCTATTGAGTTATTTCATGCTGGGTCTTGCTCACAGGTTTGAACCTAAGAAGGGATAGCTTTTCATTTCTTGCATTTCAGGAACTTTAATAATGCCTTTAAACGAAGAGTGAATTGTTTGTGCAGGGTGAATGTCTATGGCCAAAATTTCCCGATTCACAGAAAATCAGCCAATAAAAACTTACCGGTATGTCTATATTGATATTGTTGATTTGTAAGTAAATAAGTTTGAAAACAATGTAAATGGTATGCTAGTGTTTTACATATCTGTGATATTTTAACAATAAAATTGATTAATTTAATATACTATGTTTTAATGGAAGTCACCAACAATTATATGACATTGAGATGAAGGAGGATATTTCAGTCTGGGAGAACATTATTTATTTATTAGTTGTTATTGATTTTGAACTAGCTTTCAGTAGCTACAAGTACACTTATATCAGTGCTCTGTGTCTATTGTTTTCATGTTTATTGTCTTTTTGTGCTTCCAATTTTAATACGACCGTGAGAAGTGAAAAACTTGTCAAAACTGTGTTTCTTTGTCATTCAATTTTTACCCTGTAGCTACAGCAACCAATCCATGCAGACTCAAAGTGATATTGACTTGATTGTCTTACTAGGGAATACTTAATTGCAAGCCTGGTCTTCCAAAATGTCCCTTTTTACAGATTTCTGACAAAAAAGTGACCTAGTTTAACAGACCAGATTTTTTTTTTGGCCATATAATACCTCGTTGTGTTCGTGAAATACCTATATAAAAATAAGGAGATGTGGTATGATTGCCAATGAGACAGCTATGCATTTATGATAATAGTTTATACCTACCGCATACACCATTAACACAGTGGACATCAAATGACTCATTTGGGGTATCTAGTATAAATAAAATGCTCCGCCGGGCGCAGCTTGATACGACCGCAGAGGTCGAACCCTGAACAGTTGGGGCAAGTATGGACACAACATTCAAGCTTGATACAGCTCTGAATTTGGATTGTGATTAAATATTTGACACAGGATAGGTTTCTGACACAGAATGAATGTGGTCTAAGAACTTAAAAATTTTAAATTGGACATTCACCTATTATGGTCCAATATCCAAAATCTAAATACATGGTTAGATTCAGCATATCAAAGAACCCCAAGAATTCAATTTTTGATGAAATCAAACAAAGTTTTATTTTAGACCCTTTTGACCTCAATGTGGACAAAGTTGATAACGGGGCCCAAAAATCAAAAATCTAAATACATAGTTAGATTCAGCATATCAAAGAACCCCATATATTCAATTTTTGTTGAAATCAAACAAAGTTTAATTTTGGACCCCGATTTGGACCAACTTGAAAACTGGGCCCATAATAAAAAATCTAAATACATGTTTAGATTCAGCATATCAAAGAACCCTAAAAATTCAATTTTTGTTAAAATCAAACTAAGTTTAATTTTGGACCCTTTGGACCTTAATGTAGACCAATTTGAAAACAGAACCAAAAATTAAGAATCTAAATACACGATTAGATTCGGCATATCAAAGAACCCCAATAATTCAATTTTTGATGAAATCAAACAAAGTTAAATTTTGGACCCTTTGGACCTCAATGTGGACCAATTTAAAAACAGGGCCCAAAATCCAAAAACTTAATACACAGTAAGATTCAGCATATTAAAGAACCCCAAGAATTCAAGAATAAAACCCCATTGAAATTGATCAAGAAATAAGCAATTTATACAAAGTATCTTCTTTTGCACAATACTGTGCAATTGAATATTTCTTGCTATTGCGCAATACTGTACAATTGACAATTTCTTGCTATTGCGCAATATTGTGCTATTGGATATTTC